AGATGCATTATGTAAAGGTACAATTCCCAATGAGAAATGTAATTGTGTTGTATACCTACAATGTACCAATAAAAGAATTTAATTTTAAAAAAAAACAAAGAACCAGAGGCTCACAGAGTTCCCTTGTTCCTGAAAGTCAGAGGAAGCCAGTGTAAGAAACTAAGCAGCCCAAATTTGGAATTTCTTGGAAGCAGAAGTCAGAAGGTTAGGAGCAGCCAACAGAAGGCTAGGGGCAGGTGCCAAGCTCATGGGCAGCACCAAGACTGTATATTGGGGTGGCATCAGAGGTGAGGCAATGAGAGGGCAGAAGTTGCAGGAAGTTCATGACAGAAGCCAAGGAAAAGCAGTACCTGATGGAACAGTCCATGAGCAGTGTGTAGGAATAGAAGAAGGGGTTATAGGGGATGTCACTGCTGCGAAGATTGAAGAGCCCTGGGAAGAGAACCGGTGGGGATCATTTGAAGCTGATCTGCCCGGGAGGAAGCATTTCTGACACCTTTGCCCCACTGTCTGCATTGGCCCCAAATGATTGCCAGCAGCACATTTGTAGCATCTGCCTCTGGATGCCTCTCAGTCTTTGGGGGGAGGTATATGAGATGTTGATGAGCCCTGTAAAATTCTCCCTCTAGAAAAATGCAGATACCTACAGTGAGCACACAGTTTCAGTGGGTCCCCGAGATGTCTGAAGCCCAATCATAGGGATTGGGCAAAAAGCTCTGAGCCATGTTGAGACCAAGTAGAGTTATCCTGGGTGTTGTAGTTGGGGGTGTGAGTGTCCTGGGATTATGGTCAGGCTGGTGGGAGGCGTTGCTGGTCCACTTCTCTTTAAGGAAACAGATGCACTCTGCTGCTGTGGCCTGCCTGTTCCCCTGGTGGCCCATGGAGTGGCCCCAGCTTGCTTGGGGACCCCCTGGTTTCATTACTCTGTAGGTATGAGCTGATGCTCCCTTACCCCTCTTGGTTCCCACGGGCCACTGTTACTGCATCTCACAACTGGTGGGAACATGGTTGTTTGGGGGAAGACCCCTGTGCTTCAGGGCCCAGGAGACTTGGGGAGGGTGTGGCACCCACCCACGCACACAAATCCACACTCACAGGCCGTCTCATCAAGTGCTGTCAGAAGGACAGCGGTCGGAGCCTTGCTATGCTTCTGCATCTGGCTTCGGATGTTGGATACTTTCTCCTGCCAAGTGCTCCCTAGAAGCAAAGGAGACCACAGAAAGCGTAAGGGACACACCTTACATTTGGCACTTGGCTCCCTTAAGATAACGCCTTTCCTTTTGTTTGCTTGTTTGTTTTTGTTTTTGGGGATCAAACTCGGGTCCTTGTGCTTTTGAGGCTGGCGATGGAACCACTGAGCTAAATCCATGGCCCTGGCTTTCCATTTTTTAAAAAAGGAGCAGAAACCTTTCTTCAAACAAACTCTTACTTATGTAGTGATTAATAACATGAGTTCTGGATCCAGACTGGGCTTAAATCCTAGCTTTGCTATTACTGGCTGGGTGACCGTGGACAAATTATTTACCCTCTGTGTCTCCTTTTGAGCATCTGAAAAGGAGGATGGGATACAATAATAGTTTCTAACTCAACAGGGTTGATGTGAGGCTCAAATGAGTATTTATAAAGCATGTAGCAAGGTGTCTTGGTATATAATAAGTCTGGTATAGCTTTCTCACCCATAAATAAACATGCAGAAAGAGATCCGGAGAGCTGCCCTAGTTGAAGAGCAAAGGGAGAGGGCTGGGACCATGTTCAACTCTCCCCTCCAGTAATCTCAGTACTTAAACCACAGGTATTAGGCTAACTAAGCACTTCATGTTTTAAGTCTCACTCGGTCCCATTTTAGCGATATGAAAACTGAGCCTTTAGTGTGATAAAGTGACTTGTCTTGAGTGTCATAGCCGCAAGGAGTGGAACTGGGATTTGAACCCAGGTCTGTCTGGCTACATGGCTAAAACTACTAATCTGTGCAGACACTGTACTGTCTTGATAACATCGTCAATCTCCAAACCTGTCCTTCCACTCGGTGTTACACTGCTGTCCTCTCTAGGAAGCTTGTATCTAGGGCCCAGATATAAGCATAAATGATAACTTAGTGCCATTACAAACTTTATACAAACAGATAAAACTATTTAACAAGAACCAAAACTCTGGGTATGATAAACTTTTTTTAGGTTTATTTTATTGTTGTAAAATAGTCATAACAAAATGTAACACTTTAACCATTTTAAAGTGCATAGTTCAGTGGGCGTTAAGTATGGTTCACAATGTTGTGCAATCATCACTACTATTTGTAGAACATTTTCATCATTCCAAGAGGAAACCTTGGACCCATTAAGGAGTCACTCCCCATTCCCCCTTCCTTCCAGCCGCAGGAAACCACTAATCTTTCTGTCTCTATGGATTTGTCAATGCTGGATGGTTCATATAAATGGAATCATATAATATGTGGCCTTCTCTAACTGGCTTCTTAGAATTATGTTTTTAAGATTCACAAACATGACACATTTTTGAGAAAACAAAAGGAACAAAATTTACATGGTCTGATGCACACAGCTACCTTTGAGTAGTTAACTTTTCATGTTCTGTTCTTTGTCCCTGCCCCTCTACCCTTCCTTTAAAATCTGCAGCCTAAAAGCTTTCTTGTCAAAGCTTCCTGAAGCTGAACTCTGTCCTTGGGCCTCCAAGGCCCAGTTCTGGCTCCAGATAGCTTTTTCCTTAAAGACTAGCAACCTGTGATGCCTTGGCATCCCCTCGCTCCTGGGAAGTGACAAAATCCATATGAACCTGTCCCAAGCCCTAGTAGGATTTTTCTTGTTATCCCTGCTGCTTCCTGGCATATCTGTGGCCTTCTTTATCTCAGGAAAATGAGTTTATCTATGATCAGTCTTGGATAGTAAGTTTCTTTAAAAACTGTCAAGATGCAGAAAGAATGATTCTGCAAGTTACATTGGAACACACAGAGAATTGGACACAATTTTCACTACTTTTGTTATAGCTACAGTTTAGAAATTTCTCTCCTACTTTTTCTTTTCTTTTTTTTTTTTTTTTGGTACCAGAGATTGAACTCGGGACCTTGTGCTTGCGAGGCAGGTGCCAGAACCACTGAGCTAAATTCCCGGCCCTCTCTCCTACTTTTTCAACTCCTTTCCAAACCAGAAACATGTATGGACTCGGATGTGGAAAGGGGCCTCTCAGATTGCCCTGTGTGACTATTGTTCGTTTGTTTGTTTTTTATTTTGGTACCAGGGATCAAACTCGGGTCCTTGTGCTTGTGCAGCAGGCAGCGAAACCACTGAGCTAAATCCCCGGCCCCCGTGTGACTATTAGTACAAACCTGTTGGCTCTCTCAGAATCCCCAGAGAAGTAGGGGTTGTAGCCAACATGCTGATTCATAATCAGTAACCTAGCCCCTAGTCGGGATTGTAGTTATCCCTTACAAGAATCATAGCACATACTGATTTTTTATGGTGTAATATTTAGATGGTGTCAATGAGGTCAAGATTAGAATCTTCTAGGTCAGTTAATTTTCCTTTGCGGTCCAACCAAAACCTGAATACTCATCTGTGCCATAGACTGACCCTGCACTTATTTACTTCCCCTGTCCACCCCAGGCGTCTCACAAATGTAAATATCTCACCACAGGAGAGTCAGAAGGAAAGGGATGAATGGTTCAACATGAGCCAGTCTCCACTACCAGACAAGCAATGGATGTCATATGTTTTCTCTCTCCACAGGGTTTTGTTCCCTCTTTTTCTGACTCTCCTGTTTCCTCTCTTCCCCCTGCCTTTTGCTTTAAATCCTGACACTCTTTATTCCAGAATTTTCTAAATATGGTCTGGGGACCTTCAGACTAAGACTCTCTGTGGAGAGAGGCTCCAAAAATGTGCCTTTTAACCAAGCATCCCAGGAAACTTGGGTGCTTGCTAAGCTTTGCAAACCATTGCTTTGGTACCTCTGATGGTGCCTTTTCAGTCAAAGGAGCAGTAATAGGGACCCATGTTAGGGGGAATCTGTGTTGGTATAAGTTGGAAAGGAGAGTGGGCTTGCTGAATCACCTGTGAATGCCGTTTCCAGGGCATAGATGGGTTCGCTCGGTACCAGGGGCCTCTCTGAGCCCCACACCAGGTCTACAAGGTTGGTTGTGATGGATACCAGCTGTATGTTGGAGCCCTGGAGGTTCATGTCATAACTGTTCCAGGAGTCTGTGGAGACAGGAAGGAATCACTTGCCCCTTGCCTATTTACAACTCAGGAAAACCTGTGGCTTAAATAAAATTAGCCTTGCTCCTAGTTGCCCTAGTTCCACCTCTATAGCTCCAGCTGCCCCAAACCTGTCCCAGCAATCTGGACCTTCTGTAATGTGTGCCCCACCACGGGGCTGTGCCTCTCCTCTTTCTGCTTTCCAAGCTGAGCTATCCTGGGCCGTCCTCAATGCTGTCCACCAACAGTTGGCTAATACTGTCTTTTTAAGTGCCAATGGCTGGGAGTATTCCCTATTTTGGGTACCATTTTCACCAGGATTCCATGTTATGGTTGAAAAGAATGGTGATGTTCAGCCACTGGACAGGCTAGCAAGGAAGTCAATTCAGAAGGAGGAGCCTCTCACTACATGTTCATGAGGATTCCACCTCTGAGGTCATGCCACCTTTGAGGTCATTGGTGGACCAGTTATCTGGGGCCTGGAGTTCAGCGAGCTGCATTCCCTCCCAACTCTTTTGACCCTTCTAAGCTACTTTCCAAAAGAGGGCCTCTAAGTGATTCTGAATACCATCCCTGAGTAGTTTGAGGACACAGAGGATGGTTCCAGGTTCAAGGACATCCGGGTCTATTCATGTACTACATATAATGATCCCCTGTCTTCTAGGTTGGCTTTCTGCACTTATAACTTTTTAAAAAATTTTTGTATCCATTCTTTTAACATTTACAAATTACACAACACATGAATCTATCTTTGTTGCAAAATATTCTGCAACCACATCTTCAAAACAGTTTAGCTTCATGGTTACATTGCCCCTCCTTCTAAGAAAGTGTTTCTTCACCTTCTAGGGAAGCTGAGCCACCCTTGTTGGTGAGGACAAATCCCAGAAATTGAAGGAAGGATATACCTAAAGAGATGAGGAAGGGGTCGAAGCCCACACGTCCTCCAGCAGGAATCTCAGCCAGCAGCCAGGAGACAATAAGAGTAATACCAACTGAAAGACAGGAAGGAGTTCAGAGGTGGCCTGCCAGGCCAGCCTGAGGCTCTCTAGCCAGGCTTCTGCCTGTGACAGTCCTACCACATATGTCCTTGATGGGAACAAAATCATGTGGCTTTCTACCTTCTTTATGGAGATCCCAATTGCAGTCCATCTCCCGCTCCGCCTGAGTCCAGTAGCGACTGTCAGTCCAGACAGCTGCTTTCCTCATAGTCACTACTGCAGTACCTGGGACACAACAGGGAAACTTGGTTTTTTAAAAAATTTTTAAAAATTTATATATTAATTGGTACATTTTAGGTATACAATACATTTACAACAGGGAAACTTGGAGATGAGGTGAAGGTAAGGGTGAAGGTGAGGAGCACAGCTTTAGATGGTGGATGTGTGATACGGTGCGGGCTCTGAGAATGTCACAAGGTGCCTCTAGAGTTTGTCTCCTCCACTGGAAGGCAGTAAGGCAGGAAATGTGAAAGAGAACCTTGGGGAAGGGGTTGGAGATCTAGCTCAGTGGCACCACACCTGCCTTGCAAGTGCAAGGTCCTGAGTTCTATCCCTGGTACCAGAAAAAAACAGAGAGAGCTTTGGGGGAACCTGGCAGAAAGAGTGTCCTGAGGCAGGCCTCTCTGCTTTGGGTTGAGGGGGTCATCAGGACTTTTGGCGGGAGAAGACAGGGTCTGTTTTGGCCAGCTCCAAAGAACTCATGCTGCATGTAGGTACTCCCTGGAAAGATGAGATTCAATGTCAAGACTTGGTGGCTGATAGGGACACTAAGCCAGAGGCTTAGCTGAGGATTGGTGGAGAAGACAAATCCAGCAACTTTGGCAAAGAAATAAGGCTTATGATGGGCAAGGGAGGACAGCTTGAGGCTCAGGAAAGCATGTTAGAGGATCAACAAAGGAAGCTTAGATTGCATTTAATGGGCTACCATCAGGTGTCCCTTCAGACCCTGGGACATCATTATGGGTCTCTATGTTTTTCTCTTTCCACCATGTAAAGTGATCTTGTCTGTAAAAAGACCTGCAAGTAAAACTTTATCTCCAAATGAGCCATCAGGTGAAGGGAAGAATGGGTCCATAAGTAGCAACTATCTCAGAAATGGAGCCCAAGGAGTGCTGGGCTGGGCCTGGCTGTAGCAGAGGCAGTGAGCATGGCAAGGAAGCCAGAGGGCCTCTGCATCCTTTCTGTACAGTAAGGTGGCCACTATGCTTTGAGAGATGTTGGTGTCTGGGTGGCAGAGAAGTTGGAGGCAGGGAGAAAAGAAGGGGATTCTGGATCCTAGGTCCTGGGGTCCTGGCTGCTAAGGAGCTAGCTATGCCAAGTCCACTCTAACCACCTCTGGTGTGCCAGGAGACGCAATGAAGGGAGGTAATGGCTGTCACCTGCAGTCCCCTTGAAGCCTGTAATCCATGCACGCCTCTCATCATGTTTGCCAATGTATTCACTCTGGGAAATCAACAACATCAGAATTATTAGCCTTTTTTATGAAGTCCTATGCCACGTGGAAGGCCCCTAACAACATCCCTGTCTTTTTCTCTCTGGTCAGCTGTAACCAGTCCCAAATGGCTAACCATACTTGGCACCTCTTTCTTCTTTTTAATTTTTAAAACGTTTATTTATTTTAAAATTCTATTTATTTATTTAATCCCAGTGCCCTTGTCAGGGCGCTTCTCCTCCCTATACTTGGCACCTCTTTCAGGAGGCCCCCTCTAACTGCCCCAGCCTTCTCTATTCCCTTCCTTTGAACTCTTGGAGTCTCAACTCCACTGTCCAACAGTGGACTCAGGGTTACACTTGATTATTCTGTAAAGGAGTTTTTGTCACCTTGACAAGAATGCAAATTCTGTGTAGTTTAGGATCATATCATTTGGTTCTGCCCTCCGGATATCTCCTCTTCCTCTCAGTTCTCCAGTACACTGGGTACATCATAAATCACTTCTACTTATTGTCCAGTCAGACCTGTGTATCTATCCATGGATTCCATATCTGCAGCTTCACCTACTCACAGGTCATATGTACAGACTTTCCCCTTATCATCACTCCTTAAATAACACAGTATGACATCCATTTGCCTTGTAGTAGGTTTATAAATACTCTTGAGATGATGTAAAGTATTTGGAAGAATGTGCGTGGATTATGTGCAAATATCACAGCATTTTACATAAGGGAGTTGAGTATCCACTCAACTGGGTATCTATGGGGGCTCTGAAACCAATCCCTTATGGATAACATGGCATGGCTATATACTGCTCTTCATATCCCTGGAGACAGATCTCAGTATTTCCATCTGGCAAAAGAGAAAACTGAGGATCAGAGAAGTTCAAATATTTATTCAAGATTCTTAGCCTTCCCAGCAAGTGAGAAAAGTAATTCAAGCAAGCTGATTGACACTGAAAATGCTTTCTCTTCCAACTGGGCTGGTGCTGGGAAGTGAGATGAGACCATCTTGTTTCCTGTCCCCTCCCCTCTATCCCCCTCACTAGCATAGTCCAGGACTCTGGTTCATCTCACTGCTCCATCCAGCAGGCTATGGGAAGGCCTGGGCTCCAGTCCAATTCCCAGTCTCCATTCTAACCTCCTAGGGCAGGGATGCCCTAAACATTCGTTCTGGATCTGCCTCCTGGGAATTGATCAGAACTGATTCTAAAGTTGTTTTATAGTTTCATTTCTTGAGGTCAAGGGGTTTTGGCTATGTCTTCCCTCCTATGCAAGGGAATACGTGCTTCCAGTTGCCCTAAAACTACCATGTGCGAGCTCTCCACTTGTCTCTTTGCCCATCAAATCCCTCCTTTGCCTTCATCTTCTGAGTTTGAGCAGTGTCCTGTATGTGTCTGTGCTCATAGGCCAACCAGGGGGCAGTGGCAAGGGCAAGGGGAAGAGGAGTAGTTCCTTACCTTGTGGGCATCCGTGTCTGGGATGATGTAGGCAGAGAGATTCCAGGCCTCTATCTGCTGGCGGAGGGCTGAGAGCCGCGCTGTGGTATTGACCGCAGTAACTGGAAGGTGCTAACAGGTGACAGGAAGACACCCAAACACTCACCGTTGCTTAGAGAAAAATCACACCTCCACCCCTCTCCCACCATCATCACCGCAGCTTTCAGAGGAGCCGCCAGCCTCTCTTGAGGCAGGGTTGGGCGTGGTTAGCCTGGCTGGTCCTGGGAAGGATGATGCAGGCAGCTGATGTTCCACTGAGCCTCGACTAAGATGTCTGTGCTGAGCAGAGATGGAAGTGTAGCTTGGAGAAGGAATCTTTGTGACAGTAATAGTGCTGTAGTCTTGGAAGGGGGTGTGGGTGAGAACTGCAGGCTCTGAGCTCTGGCACTGGCCCAGGCCACGGGGACAGTCCCTACTTGGGATATCTTGGGGTAGAGTTGCCAGGTTCAGCAAATAGAGATGCAGGACACCCACCCAGTTACATTTGACTTTCAGATAAACAATGAGTAATGTTTTAATGTAAGTATGCTCCTGTTCTATTTGGGACACACTTAGACTGAAATATTGTATATCACCTGAAAGTCAAATGTAATTGAGTGTCCTGTATTTTATCTGGCAACCCTACCCTGGGGGCTTTTTCAAGTTGTTACTCACTGGTCCCAGATGGCAGAGGACAGTGAATGAGCACCCCCATCAGTGTGAGACTCTGCTAGGAAAGATCCTCTCCAAGCCTGATACTTCTTCAAAGGCCATTTTATCTTTCAAATGAACCATGTTTTTTGTTTGTTTTGTTTTGTTTTCTACTCAAAGATCTATCCAGGGTTGTTTTAATATAAAAGCGATGGGCTTGCCCACCATCTGCCTAACCTAATAGTCCTATAAAGTTGACATGGCACGTAGATGTGCTGTGCTTATCCTGAGACCTAGGGTACTCACATGCCGGCTCACCTCTTCACACTTCGGGACCATCCCTGCCTGTAGAAGATCTTTAAGCCCCACTCCAGTTCAGAATCACTCTGGTCTCCAGCCTGGAAGCTGACCACCTGATCCCCTTTGGCTCCAACCTGCTGGGCCTTCCAGTCTTCATAGCCTAGAGGTCTCCTTCTCTCGTGCTTCCGGTGGCTCTTCTAGCCCACTGACTTCCTCCCTCCTCCCTTTTCCTCCCAGCCTCTGCCTAGCTTCTGCTGAGCCTCAGCCAAACACCAGCCAGGGGATGCCCCTCCCTCTTTCTCACTTTTCCTCCCCCCTCCTTCCTTCCCGGGGCGGCTTTCCAGGCCCTAGGGCGAGAGTAGAGAGCCAAAGTAGAAAGTGGGGGACATGATAAACTTCCTGGTCTGTTAGTTGTGTTATACAACTGCCCCACTGGAATGATGCATGTTAATAAGAAACAGGGGGTCCAGAGTCCGGAAATCAGGGGAAAGCCTATAGGCGGAGAGGCTGGCCAACTGAGCCAATGGGAGATGGAGAGGACGAGGGGGCGGGGCCGCATGCGGGGGCGGGCTCACACGTGGTGGACCCAAGACCTCACCGGAGGGTTGGCTGAACAGTTTCTCACATCTTCTCTTCCAAGGTCCCCTGGCTTTGGGTGGCTCCAGGCACAAGCTAGAAACCAGGAGAAAACATCCAGATTATTTGGGGGACCAGAGAGATCTCAGAGAGCAGGGATATCCTCCTTCAGTCCCTTCCCCCACTCTGTGGGGCGTCCATCCTTTGAAACATACACCTCTACTTCAGGTTAAAAATAACCATATTTCATGGGAAATCAGGCTGAATTGATGACACCCTGGGTCACAATCAAAGACGCTAGTTTCATCGACTAGTGATTGCCACTTTTGCATGGGTTTAGTGCTCATTATATCAATTTTTCTTCTAATCTAATTGGGTCTTTTCAGGGTCTAGTGAAGTGGAAAAGTTGTGTGTAAATTAAATTTTTGCAATCAAATTTTCTTTTAAATGCTCTAGAGGACCTCACTAAATAATGACTCCACCTTTTTAGCCTTCTAAAAAATCTAATTTTATATATTGTATTTACTTAAATTCAAGGCCCATTTGTACCATTATTTTTGGTTCTGGGGATTGAACTCAGGACCTTGTCCTTGTGAGGCAGGCGGTGGAACCACTGAGCTAAATCCCCAGCCCCATTTATACCATTTTTATAATCCAAATCTCTGCGTGTTGTTTCAGGCACATTTTAAATATATAAGACAGTAATCCTAGTCCAACATCGCAGCCTGGTGGGGAAGGGCATATTAGCATTTAAAGAGCTCCTACTAGGTGCCGGGTATCCAACTCAGCAACAACAGGTATGTCTGTTGCCTCGTCATGTGCTGTGTAATGATGTTCTGGCCAACAAAGGGCTGCATATGTGATGGTGGACCTGTAAGATTGTATCTTGTAGTGATCTCATGGTCATCTTAGTTTGTGTAAGTCACTCCATGAAGCTTGTGCAATGACAAAATTGCCTCATGGCACACTTTTCAGAACTTGTCCCTGTCATTAAGAGCACACAATTGTATCTCATTTGATACTTGGAACAACCCTATTTGAGTTCTACTATTCTCTTTCTACAGAGGAGGAAGCACAGCCCGGATAGGTTTGGTAACTTGCCCAAGTTTTGTCACAGTGGGTCAGTAGTCAAAATGGGGATTTGAACTTAGGTCATTGGAATACAAAACAAGAGTGTGGCTAGGGGTGTGGCTCAGTGGTAGAGCTCTTGCTTGTCTAGCCTGCATGAGGCCCTGGGTTCAATTCTCAGCACTGCCAACAAAACAAAACCTGGGGGTTGACCTTTCCATCCTCTCATTCTGTCAACCAAGGCAGGTAGGCCTGGAAGGGACTGGGATATTATAAGCAGGATAGAGTACATGGAGACCTAGGGTGCAATTTGGACTCTACCCCAAATTTGGTGTGACCCTATATTCATTAGACAAATGTTTCCTAAGTGCCTACTCTGTGTCAGGCACTGGGCTTTGTCCTCCAGCTCCGGGCCTCTGTAAAAGAGGGGTGCATTACAGTCTTTTCCTGCCCCCAAAGTCCAATAATCTCTGATAGTCTTTCTCTCCACTTCGTGCATTTTAAGGGGGATTTCCCTAGAGGGACAAGGAGGCTTAAGTATTGGGAGACACTATATTTTTACCTCTGAGGTGAGATAGAAGGAGGGTGGCTTGGACTAACACCCTGCCTGGCAGGATGCCCTGCCTGGCTGTCTTAGTCTCATAAACTCAAGGGGGAGATGAAATTCACACTGTTGATTTAAGAAAATAAACACCCATTTGTGCAGGAACAGATCTCTAGCAAGATAGTGGTGCTAAGATGCCAACCTAAGAATCAGGACCCAGCTAACCCATGTCCTTCTGGACACGAGGATCTGCTGTTCTCTGAGGCCTGGGTTGTAGCTCCCAAGGAGTAGCCTGTGCAGCCAAATCACTCTGACCCCTAGCACAGGGGCCTGGCACTGGGGAGGTGCTCAGGAATTGGGTGTTGAATTAATGAGCAGAGTCCTGCTGATAGAGAGCAAAGGGGAGACTGGCCTCCCTAAGGCCAGGGGTGAACTGAACTGGGCACCTATTTGAGGACAAACAGGGCACTGCATGGACAACAAAGGCGCTCCTTGACCAAACACTATATAGGCTCCTCTGAGATCTTTTCTTGACAAGGCCTCAACCTTGCCCTTTTGTGACTGTGTTCTCCTTGTCAGGCCTGCATTGCCTTGTCTTGGCAAGAATCCTGTCAATGCAGTTTAGAGGAACCCTTGATATCTGATCAATCCCAATATCTGATTAGATTTCTCATGCCCCACCCTTGATATCTGATCACCCTGGCCTGCCTTCTGTAAGAATCCCACTACCCTCAGTGACTCCTCTCGGTGACTCCTAGTAACTTTCCATGCACTGATCCTCCAACCATGCTCATTGGCTATAAATCCCCAGTGGTCTTTGCTGTCTCTCCTGCTGCACGGTGCCCATTGCAATAGTTTTCAATAAAGTCCTCCTTACCCTCTAGCCAGTGTCACAATAATTTTGCCACTAACAGGAAGGGATAGGAAGGTGCTAAACTAGATTTGATCCAAGCCACAAGGAGCCTGAAGACTGGCCCTGATGGAGCCTCTTCCTCAAGACAGACAGGACCACCAAGAGACAGAGACAATCTGGACCCCAGCCCTCACTCCAACCCTTCCTGAGCCCAGAGGGGACAGGCCAGAGCTGCTTTCCAAAAGAGACCAAGGTGCACCTACCACAGAGGAGGACAAGCCAGGGGCAGAAACCCCAGTGAGCTCCGGCCATGGGGTCTCCAGATGTCAGCGCTGAGTGAGTGGAGGGACTGGGAGAGAGGGCGGGTCTGTTTCTCTTGTCCCTTCCTCCAGGCCTTTCCTGGGCAGCAGCAGACAGAGGTGGGGCTGGTGGGCGATGGGGAGGACGTGTCCGGCTGTTGGATGGAGAGTCCCCCTCTGGTCTTTTGTTTCAGAAGTTTCTGGGAGCCACAGTGAGCAGAGGAACCTTGGGCGGTCTCAGGCAACCTGTGCAGGCTCCTTGTAGCTTGGAGTACGCTGTGAGCCCATCCCGGGCAGAGTCCAAAGATCTCTGAGATTGAGGAGCAACAGCTGTTCTCAATCAGCCTGCATGTCCCAGCCCCCTCTTCATAAGCTCTGCCCCTGCCATTCCTAAATTCTGTCCCCCTCCCTCCTGCAAGCTGTTTCTCATTAGCTCCCCCATATGGGGCTCTGGGTACAGCCCTGTCTTTGCTTTGGGATGGATGTTGGTCCCTCCTTCTGCTCCTCCCCTGAGCTGGCCATTCCCAGAAAAAGTCATGTCCTCTCTCTCTCTCTGTGACAGGGCAGCCCTACTGTAGCCCTTGGGGAAGGTGGTTGCAGCTGCAGAGTTCCTTGCTTGAGCTGGTGTGAGTTCTTCCAGAAGAGTCCATTCCACAAAGCTGCCTGCAGCCCTCCTTGAGAGATCCTGTGAGTCCCATTTGGCTGTGTGTTCTGCACTCTGTGAAATGCACGCTGCTTAGGGCCATTCACAACCAGGAGGGAACGGAAACCCAAAGTCACCTCGATTAGGAAGAATCAGGGGATGATGCCACAGAAGAGGGAAGAACACCTAGAAAGCAGAGTTTGGGGGCTCTGAGAAGACAAATTTGGTTCACTGGAAATGCGCTTTCTGTCATAGTTTCTCCTACAGGGATTGGTTATCCTGCACTGCAGGTTACTCCTGAACAGCCTGACTTCTGGTGAGGGAAGTGGAGACACTGAAGCCTTGTCTGTGCACCTGGATACATCAGAGAGCAGTAGGCAGCACCAGCGGCAAGTTAGCTCGCAGTTCACCTCTCTAGAAACTCTGGGCTTGGGCAAGGAATAGACCAGAGAGGACTGCTTCCGATAGACAATCAGACCTGTGTTCACCTACTCTGCAGGCCAGAGGCAGACTGCCTATTCCTTCTGATTTAATTTTAATGCATTTACTCTCTCCTTACATCTGCAATCAGTTTAAAGCAGCTTTCAAGAATAGGTCATTCAAAAACTATAACGAAGGCCATTTTGTGGAAAGAAAGAGGGCTTTTCATGGACTCCCTGGCAGGACAGGCAGAGTCAAATGAGTGAGGAGGTTCTGTAAACTCCACCATCAGGATAAAAGCCGAGGGCAGAAGTCCTTTGCCTCAGAGGACAGACCAGGAAGCTCTTATTGTGTCCCTGTCCCCTTTTCTACTCCTTCCAGAACTGATGATGAAGTTATTCCCAGAGACCAGAGGACTGGGGAGATGCTCTGTCAAAGGCCCTTTCCTCCTCTGTGCATTGGATTAGCCATATTGAAGGGGAAGCAGGTAGAGTGATGCAGAGGAGGGACCTGAAGGCAGCCTTCAAGGACAAACACAGCCCTGCCTCTTTACTAGCGAGGCTGGGAGCACCAGCTCGGGAGCCAGGCTACCTGGGTTTTAATGCCAGCTCTTTCACCATCTAGCTGCATGGGCTTGACCGTGACTTCACCTCTCTGAGCCCTCAGTTTCTTCACCTGTGAAATGGAGTCACAATAACCCTAAATTCTTAGGTGTGTGATGAAGATTAAATGGGTTAGTGGCTGTGGAGCTCCTAGCACATGCCTGGCAGAGTATAAAGAATAAATGCTATGTACATGTTTATTAATGCAAATCTGTGACTCGAACCAAAACGAGTCTCATCTGTACCTTGTTCTTTTTGTCCTTGGCATTCCACACTGCTGAAATGGCAGTTACTGTTCTAGCAAACATCAGCAAGGCCTCAGGGGTTTGAGAGCCAGCAAAGTGCAGCCTGCCCCCAGCTCCTGGACTCTGCCCAGGGATGGTCTCCACATAGCACATGGCCTCCATGTCCACCCCTCTGGTCCTCACCTTGGTCCTGGCAGTGAGGATGGCCTACCAGCTTCACCCTCAACTCCTCCCTTATCTCCTTATCTTGGAAGCACTGTCTTTATGCCTGCCAATGGGAACTTGAACCCAAGTTGGCCACAGGCCTGAAGTGGAAAGAAATGATTCAGGACGGGGAGGG